TACATTATATTGCGAGTGGTATCACATTGGTAATACAGTCCAAGCACAATTCAAGCTTATGGTCAGCCATGCATGATGCACCTGTCCCTTTGCACCTCCCTTTGCATCAGGTCAGCAGTTTCCGACATGAAGAAAAAAAAACACGGACCAGCTTGTACTAATTATTAGTTCAGTGTTGAAAAAAAGAACATATTGATTTTATGTCCGAAGGAAATCCAGGTATTTTTTGAACCACTTCATTATGAATATACCGTCACACCAGAAAATTGAAATGTAGGCATTTTCAGTGCAGCCAAGTTTTTTGTTTATTTCTTGAGACCTGCTTATTTATTTAAGAGAACATTAGTCAGCAGAACAAGGCCGAGCCAAGTGAGCTAGTAAAGAGCCCCATTAATGGCCTGGAAAAGCTTTTGTGTTTGATGGATACGCTTGTAAATTATTAAAATAATATCATAGCACGTATGGCTGATAATATATCACGGTATCTGTCTGTCTGCCTGCCTGCCTGTCTGTCTGTCTGTCTGTCTGTCTGTCTGTTGGTATGTCTGTCTGTCTGTCTGTCTGTCTGTCTGTCTGTCTATCTGTCTATCTGTCTATCTGTCCGTCATCTATCCATCTATCCATACATCCCTGTACACAGAACAGCAGAGAGGGATTTTGTCATTGACACAGGTCTTGAAATATGTCTGCTGTCGACAGACTGAAGAGAATCAGAGTTGTCTGACAATTCTATAAATATTATCTTTGTTATAAAAATCCATCCTAAGCTGTGGGCTGAAAAAAACATTCAGTTCAGACAGTGTGGGCTACACTGGCCTCAAGACATAACTATCACTGACTCATGTTTAACTGCAAGTAAACTACCTAACATACAGTTTTGCTTCCAACAGGACTACACACTGACCATGTACTTCCAGCAGTACTGGAGAGATAAGAGACTGGCCTATGCAGGGATCCCTCTCAACTTGACCCTGGACAATCGAGTAGCAGACCAGCTCTGGGTCCCTGACACCTATTTTCTTAACGACAAGAAGTCCTTTGTGCATGGTGTCACCGTAAAGAACCGTATGATTCGGCTGCACCCAGATGGCACTGTTCTCTACGGCCTCAGGTGAGCACTGCTGTTGTTCTTACAAGTTCTCAAACAGTGGCCCAAAGGGAAATATCAGAGCGAGACCCCCTGTTCTCCACTTAATACAAACTATGGTTATCATTTGCTGTGGTCAATTCCCTATAACGTATAACCTCACTGCTTTCTTTTACAGGTTTGCCTATTATGTGAAAAAATATCAGGATATGTTGAATTTCATTAGAGGAAGCTTAATTTTGATAAGGTGTTTTTCAATATACAGCTGGGGGTGCTAATTTTCCAATTAGGTACCGTTAAACAATTTCAGACAAAGAGGGTAAAATGAGATGAGTCAAACCTCAAACTGTAAAAAACAATAGTAAATAATCATGATATTTATGCATTTTATCCATGGGCACCTTTTAAGACACTCGAGGACACCTTACAGATATAGAATCAACCAAGAAGCAGCAAAATATCAGGATGTCAATAAAACAATAACAAAAAAGTATAAAATCAACAGTAGTAAAAACAAGACTTCATACGGGACATGGTGGATGTCTTTTTTTGTTTTGGCCTCTAGTTTCACTGTACCTGGCTTCATGCCTGAATTGTTCCTGCAGCAGGGTCTTGTTTGTCTGTGCAAGATGCTCTTAAAAAAATATCACTAGATG